GCGTTCTGGGGCAGCATAGACAGGTATTTTCTGTGTTAGAGTTTTCCTCGCTACAGGGTGTACTTTGAGGGTTTTTGACTCTGCAGACCGTTTACATTCATAAAAAGCTACATAACACACAAGGGGACGGGTAATAACCAGAAAAGCAGGACATGGGACCTTTAAATAACTTTGTGAAAAAGCAGTCTCAAACAAAAAAAGGTTTATGCGCACTGAAAATATCGTCTTTTTTCCCTACTTTTTTAGTGAATAACTAAAATGGCAGACGTAGCCGTTCCCAAGGCCGCCCCCAAATGGGTTTGGGTGCCTTGCTCTTGAAGGTGCGCATGGCCCTCTGCTTGAATTTGGGGGCGGCCTTGGGAACGGCTACGTCTGCCATTTTAGTTATTCACTAAAAAAGTAGGGAAAAAAGACGATATTTTCAGTGCGCATAAACCTTTTTNAGTTTTCACTATAAGTACAAAATATGTTTTGGACGGACACTATAATTTACAGTTTTTTACCATGTTCAATCTGAATTTTCTTTAAAATAAAAAACATCTATATTGAATCTGACTTTTCTACATCCAACTGACAGGTTTATCATTACTTTGAGAAAAAAGATTATTAATGTAACCCTTTTAGAAGGGAAGATATGGTCATTTGTTCTGGGAATGTCATTTTCGAGCCTGAAACCTGAAAAACAGGCTCGGGGTTTAACAGGTTATTAATAAAAAGGAGTGCACTTCTCCTTTTAAATGCTTTTTAATTTTTTTGGTTCTAAACATGGGAACATTTTAGTTTGTTTCATAAATGTAGTTATTGAAAAGTACTGTGCTTTAATGCTGTGAGATACTTTGTTTGAGTACATTTTATTCAAATTTCTTTCCCTTTGCTACATGCATAAAATTAAACTATTAAACTATTATGTTGAATGCCTCCCTATGTTTAAGATTTCAATACTTGTTTCTCCAAGGATAAACATTTTTGCATTTATTATGCATCCTACTGATCAAAATTAGGCATTGCTTATTTTGAATGAATCAGTAAAGTTGGCAGTATCGTCCCTCTTTAACCCGAGTCCACGCCATGAGGCCAGGGCTTACAGCTGATTGGTCAAGTGGTCTTTATTTGTCCCTAAGTGAGACATGATCTGAAGGGGGCTCAGGGCTCTACTTGCCCTTTCCAGATCATCAGGAAACGTACGTCATGCCCTATGGTCATGCCACATGATTGTTTACAAATAAAGTGAAACCATTTTCACACTTTTTGTTTTTTATAGATAATAATGTGCCCTTTGTGGTAGGGCTGGATCCTAATAGCTGGAAGTCTTCAGTCTCTAGATGGCTAGTTGATCTATCCCATAACATCAGACATAAATGTTATTATTGAATGTAGTTGAAGAGTTATTTTACTTAGCTGTAGATATACCATAGTCTAACTCTCCATCACAAGTACAATTCCTAAGTTTGAAGTGTTACTAAAATAAACAGAAATCAGCCAACTGTAAAAAAGTATCAAAAGTAAAAGTACTAAATTGTGAAAAATGTCTCTCAAACAAATGTTATAGAATATAATACTTTCCAGTTTTTTGTTACCAATAAATCCAAATATGAGCATTACAATTGTCATTTATGTCATTTTATGTAAAAAATAACTCATAAGTATAATACGTGTCCTTAGTAATATTCCACCAGAGGTAGGAGGACACTGGAAAACAAATATGAAAAAAAAGGTGAGAACATGTTTATTGATTTATTATGAATAAAAGGGTTCAGCTGACACAGCACATATTTTAGTAATTGAGTGCCTGTATTTGTGTAGATTAAGCAGCAACATTTACAGCTTAGATTTTGTTCCTGTGACTAAACTGAAATACACTTTTATTTTTTCCGTAATTAAAGTGTAGAATTGAATGCAGCAAAAGTACAGTGTCACTTAATAAATTACATAATTTCAACTGACCCTTTGACAAATTTACAGGCACTTCTAATGCACCTTGTATGTAAACTTGGCTTCCTTTATCCCCTATATCCTTGTCTGAGCTGGAACAGGAGTGGACAGAGCAGAGTTGGCAACTCAAACAATGCCAGAACATTTGAGTGGATTAGGAGATCAGAGGACTTTAAAAGGCGAAAGTCAGACAGGGACACAGAGAAAGGAATACCACACGCTCATCTGAATACACTTTTTTTTCTGGAGTGTCATTGCTAAAAGATCTGAAATTAGATCTGAGATACTTCCGGAGGAGACTTCATAAGGAGTATTTCTTTGAGCTGGACTTCTTGTTGATACTGTTAAAGCCCCAGTCTCTGTCTTAATATCTCTTTTTAATTGATACTGTACATCTGATAAACACAGAGGAGTCTTGAATCCTGTTTGCTATTTTTCATCAATACCTGATATACTTGTGCTTTAGTGGCATATCTGGATGTTAAATGTGTCATTAATGATATACCTTTTAAAACAGGAAATCATTGCTTGATGGTTGCAGTTTAATCTGATGAAGCAATGCATGTTTATTGTAGAGCATCTTCTAACAGCAAGGGCATTCAAAGTACCGTACAAAAAACTTTAAAATGTATTGAGAAAATATATTACATTTACACAAGGCAATGTTAATTAGTATATAATATATAGGTGTCAAATGGGATTTGAAAAAAGTCAAACCAAGTGCATTCACAGTTATGTTGCAGTGAGAGGCTTGAATAACTTTGTGAGAAAGCAGTGGCATACAAAACCAAGGTCAAAAGTACAGAGAGTTGCAAAAACATCATATATCGTTCTTCTTTTTTAGTGAATAACTAAAATGGCAGACGTAGCCGTTCCCAAGGCCGCCCCCAAATTCAAGCAGAGGGCCATGCGCACCTTCAAGAGCAAGGCACCCAAACCCGGCCAGAAGGGGTGAGATGGATTTAAGATCACACACATATAAACAGTCTCTTTCTTTATTTGCCATTTCAGATCTACTCTCAAGCAATAAAAACTTTAATCTCTCAGTTTGTACTCATCCGATCCCTTTATCTTCTGCACTCAGATTCGGAGAC